CCCTAACCACTCACCTGCCTGCCTGATCAACCCTAACTGCCTCTGCCTGCCTACCTGACCGCCCCTAACCACTCTGCCTGCCTGATCACCCCTAACCGCCTCTGCCTTGGCCCCCGCTGTTGCAGCTTCATCCGGAAGGACGTCCAGAATGACATCTGGAAGGTCGTTCAGCTGTCCAATCTAATTAGCATATTACACTTTTATTATTATAGATATAAAAGGCTATATTGACTCGCACATGCACAATACATATAAAGCTCTTGCTGGCGCCAATCACACGCATGTGTTTCAATCTGTCATTGTCAATCATGAATTTGGTTGACACTTCTATTATAGAGAAAGGCCAAATAGCGATATTAAAATATTCTCATTAATTCCCTTTCAATGTGCACAAATCCGTGCACTGGGGCCCTAGTTTACCCTATAAATGTGAGTGTGTGCACACATACACACACCCGCACTGATGCATGAGCAGTATGTAATTGACAGAGTGAGAATCCAAACCCAGAGCTGCCTTGACCCAAAGTCTGGTTTTTCTATCACCCCATGACCTTCGGTAGCTTGACTGGGATGCCAATCAGGGTGAATGCCAGCTGCCGTGGCAGCCAGATGAGCCTCTGGGTCCTAGTGTACACCATCTGGCAGAATGAAATACCCATTTCTCGATGATCACTGCCTCTGGGCTATAGTAACAGGGATCATACATATTCCAAACATCCTTTCTATTTTGCTTTTGTCTTCAGTTTTTGGATGGAGTTAAACTGGCATCCTGCCTGACAGCATGTAGAGTAGGTAAGGTCAAGTTCACACTGAGTGGCGGAAGGGTGACCATCTGAGACAAAAAGGCTTGTATACCTGATGTAATGGGCTATTAATTAATTAACAAAATGAGTGAATGGTGGGCTGGGAGCAACTCAAGGATGGAAACCACACCTGGTTCACTGTTAGCTTGGGGTCTGGCTCAGATGCAGCAAATGCTGAGGGTCAAGGACACAGGTGAGGCTGCAGGAATCTGGGGAGGCACATGGTGGTACCTAACTGGCCACCCCTTGAGCCACTCACATCCACCATGTCCTCCTGTTATGCCCAGCTTCCACCCGACAACACAGGGCCTGTTACCCTGTGATAGATGATAAGATGCCCTGAAAGGGAGGCTCAAGGCCAACGGGTCACAGAGCCCTCTTCGAGGTCCAGTCCAGATTTCCTACAAGACTTGAATCAAGAAGTCCCTGCAGTTTCAGTGGCTTCCAAGTTCTTAACTGAATTCATCATCTCCTGCCTCTCACACCCATTTCCGATCTCCTTCATTCGCAGCCAGGACCTTGGCTTGTTTCTTGCCCATGTGGCATCGTATGTCACCTTCAGGCAAGAGGAAGAACCCCGCAAACGCCCTGCACAGGCCCTCGAGGGGACTCGGCTATTTGGGCGAGGAACTTGCAACTCACAGTCTAGAAGGGGACCACCTTGGTCTTCGGGGTCCCACCCAGGGCAGGGCCTGGAGTCTCAGGTCCAAGGATGGTACTGTACTTGTTTTAGCTCAAGAAACTCTGGGAATGGACTCCTGGAGAAAAGGATTTCTCTCGAAGAAAAAGCTCTTTCAGGAAAGACTACATTTTCAGGGGAGAAAAACCCAGCCTTTCTGCTCATCACCTTCCCGCTTTGATTTCCGGTGCTTTCATTTGGCCAGTGAAGTGATGAGGCTTTTGCTGGTCTCTGAAGACCTTGAAAATCAAATCCAGACCATCTGAGCTCCTCACATTTAGTTCAAACTGGGAGACTTTTCAAGGGCAAAGCTACCAACGAGCACCAGTCCCTGAGGGAAATAAATGACGCGACCCACTTTCCGCAGTATGGAGGCCATGAAAGGGCCGCTGGCGGACCCAGGGCCTTTCCCACTTTTCAACTGGGTCCTGGCCTGGGAGTCATTTCCCCCCGAGTGACAGCGGGATAGAGAAAGGTCCTCAGAGGCCAGCACAGCGACGACAAGAGCAGAAACAGTGTCTCAACACCTCCCACTCCCTGGCACTCACTTTGTGGCAAGTCCCAGGCCAAGCATCTCAAATGCATTTTCTCATTCAGTTTTATTAGCGATCCCATGAGGTAGATGATTCTGTTTTCCCCACTTTCCATTCATCCATTCCACGGGACATTTACTGAGCAATTTTAATGTTCCAGGCACAGAACCCAGCACTGAGGATCCAGCAACAGCCAGACAGGCAAGGTCCCTGCCTCTTGGCACTTATAAGCCACTGGGGGAAACAGATGCAGCCAATGAACAAGTTACAAGGGGAAAAAGAGAGCCGTAAGTAATGTAAGGAAATGAAACAGGGAAGCAGGAGAGGGTAAGGGAAGGCAGGGTGTGTGGTTGAGGTAGAGTGGCCAGGGGAGCTGCTGCATAGAAGAAGGCACTTGAAGTGATATGAAGTCAGCCCTAAGGAGGTCAAGGGAAAGTCAATGCAGGCAGAGGGAGCAGCTGAGGCAAGGGCACAGGGGCCAGATGGATGGAGCTTGACACGCTGGACAGAAAGAAGGAAGCTGTGGTGCACAACAAAAAAGGAAAGAGCCAAAAGAAGGTGCGGTTAGCCGGCAGGAGAGTGGAGGAAATGCAATCTGCTTACTCTTAAGCAACCACATACCTTGGTTGCAGGCTCCATCTCGAGCCCCGGTCAGGGCGCATGTATGTGCCCTTGACCGGAATCAAACCCGAGATCCTTCAGTCCATGGGCTGGTGCTCTACCCACTGAGCCAAACTGGCTAGGGCTAAATAAAGTTTTATGGGAACACAAGCATGCCCTTTTGTTTGCATGCTGCCTGTGGCTGCTTTTGAGCTATGAGGGCAGAATGAAGTAGTGTGACAGGCCATACGGCACATAAAGCTTCAAATACGGATTACCTGGCCTTTTCTAGAAAAAGCTGGCCGACCCCTGGTGTAAGGTCAGTTGAGTTGTCCCTAGGGATGGCCTGTCCATCGGTCTGTGATAAACTGTCTAATGTCCCCCTCCCAGTACATCGGTTCCTCTGTGATGAGACGTGTCATCCTCCCTTTCGGAGGTGGACTCCGTTTCTCCACCTCCTGGCATCTGGACTGGCTCTGTGGCTCGCGTTGGCCAATAGAATGTAGCTGCCTCGAGTGGGTTTCAGAGCCGGAGACTGGAGAGATGGCGGAGCTTCTGCCTTTGCCCCCTGGGAACGCCAAGACCCCCCGGTCAGAAAGCTGGTCGACCAAATGGAGGAGGAGTTGTCCCATCACATCCTGGTGCAGAAGAGAATGGAGGTGCCCAGCTGGCAGCCAGCACCAACCACCAGACATGGCAGTGCGGCCGTCGGGACCTCCCAGCCCGGTGGACCCTCCGGCTGATGGCAGCCCTGCAAGCGAGCCCAGGTGAGACACACTCCAACCCCGGAACTGTGAGGAACGGTAAGATGCTGTTGCTAAGCCACTGTGTTTGGGGTGGCTTGTCACCAGCAATAGATAACTAGGCCCCAGGCCCTTTCGCATCTGGAATCTCTTGCTAAGAATCCCACCAGGTGCAGGGCCATGGCAGAGTGTCGCACAATCATCTAACAGCTCAGCTGAGGAAATAGCGGCCCGGAGCTGCAGTGGGTTAGTGAGTGGCAGAGCCTGAAGCCTGAGCTCTCACCCCCATCTGGGATTCTTCCCTGCAGTCTGTGCCTCAGGCTCCTAAAGGTCTGAAGGAGCGGCGTCCCTGAGCGCTGGGCATTGGTGATGTCAGCTGATAGATCCCAGGAGAGAGGACGCTCAGCCGTTTTATGAAATCCAGATCACAAAACAGAGGCCAAGGTCACCTGGGTACCTTCAGGGAGGGCGGAGCAGCAGGTTCTGGAAGATCAAAGCACAAATGGTCGGAGGAGGCGGCTGAGGTCAACCTCAGTGCATCCAAGGAACAAACACCAGCTTCCAGGACCCTGGGCCTCAGGGCATGAGTGAGAAAGCAGTCAGGCATATCCCTAAACTCGCCACTGGGAGGCAGCATGGAGCAACAGCATCAGATTAGGATTCTGCCTCATCCTGTGAATTGGGCAGCCCCGTGTCCTGGGCTGGTTGCTTCCTTGGGAAGACACTGAGCCTGTTTCATCATCCGGAAAACACTCTCTTCACAAGGCTGTGGTGGGAGCTAATGCAAAACCCTGAACAACCCAGGAGGTGTGATCAGTACACAGCGCAGACCTGAGAGGAAGACCAGAGGAAGCCCTGCCTTGGGCTCCATGTGCCAAGGACCCCACATATCACAGACACGCCACCCATACACA